AGAATATTCCTCTCTTTTTCTAAATCATATAAAAATATTTACTAATTATATTTTCTTAAATTAAGTATCTTAGCTACATAATAAGAAAAACGTGCCTATGAAAAACTTAATAGGAAATGATGTTTTCTCTTCCTTTTTGTGTTGTGATTACTTGAAAAAACAATTTACTTCTGTTTACTTACATTTGCTTTCTGAAACTAGAAATATGAGTTTTACACTTTGGTGTTTTACAGTAATTTATCACTGATGTGAAAATTATAAGTTTGAAGTATAGTATTTAGAAACACAAAATGAAATATTCCATCTTGACTTTTTATTCAGTCATTAAGCAAAATATGATTCTGTCTTGCTTAACTCATTTGACTATAATTTTACCCAACAGTTAGAAAAATGCCAGCAGATTTTCAATAGGAAGAGCTCTATAATAGTATTTCCAGAACCGGGCTCGGTGGCTCAGCCTGTAATCCCACGCCTTTGGGAGGCTGAGGTGAGTGGATTGCCTGAGCCCGCGGGTTCGAGACCCGCCTGGGCAGCGAGACCTCATCTCTATGATAAATCAAAAAATCAGCTGGGCGTGGTAGCGCGCGCCTGTAATTCCGGCTACTTGGAAGGCTGAGGCGGAAGGATAGCCAGAGCCCAGCAGGTCGAGGCTGCGGTGGCCGGGAGCGGCCACTGCACTCCAGTCTGGGTGACAGTGAGACTCCAACTCAAAAAAAAAAAAAAAAAAAATAGTATTTCCACTCTAAATTAGATAGTTATCATTGCTCTTCAGAGCAAATAAAATTAGCTAGTCCTGTTTGATTTCTTTGCTATCTTGACATTGGAAGATATCGATATTTTGTTAAAGTTTAGACAAAGGCTTTCACAGTGTCATTCAGTCCAGTTGTTTCCTGATAACTGTTTCATGTAGTGATATACATTTCACAATTCTAATTGGTGAGTTTTCACTAGAGTTAGGTTGATCATAATTATGACCTTAACTGAAGCTGAAGATTTTTATATTCTTAACTTGATTCATCTGATTTTTTATGGGTTTTTACACATTTTAACTGCTTTACACATTTTGGGTTGATGTTATCAAGACAAGTTTTATAAATCAGAATTTCTTGCCTATGTCTCATGATTATTGCTTGAAGAAAACTTTTTGTTCTTGAAATATTCCAGTACGTGTTTAGCTCTACTCTACATGAAAGCATATAAGAATTATGAATGTAACTTGAATTAATACTAAAGTTCATGGTTATGAAATACGGAAATCAGCACCACAGCACTATCTTGAACTAAATATCTTGCAATATTTAATTACATATCTAGTCTTCTAAATGTTTTAAATTGATAAAGTTTGAGTTTATATGTGAACCATCTAAGAAATTCTGTAGGGAATCCTGGTAGAATGGGGCAAAGAAGACCTAGAGTCCAACCACTGGATTCACTATGACTTTGGGCAAGGTGATTGAACCGACATTTCCTTCTCTAAATAGATACTGAATTCACTGATGTCAAGTATCAGCAAGCAGCTTAGAGTCTTTGTTATTTGTCAATCAAGTACCAGAGGTGTAAAAGTATTCAACTGATACATGTGAACAGATCCTGTGCTGCCCCACTTCAGGAGAAGATGGGAAAGGATGAGCTTGCCACTTTTTAAAATGTTCCATTTACCACTGGCCATAGATTTATATATAGAGAGTGAAAAGAGGGAAAATATTCCCAAATGATCTCCTGATTCCAGAGTGATACTGCAGTTCACCTCATAGACTCATCTTAGGTCTGAATAACTGGCAGCCTGGTTTTGAGATGGTACTCCTGGTTCTAAGAGTTGTTGATCAAATTCAGAATCTTGAAGGATTTTTATTACTCTGTAAGTAAGAGAATCTTATTTTTATTCTTTGAATGTGAAGGTGTCAGATAGGAGATATTAGAAGTAGTCAGTAGTTGGTAAAAGAGTGACTGGCCATTCATTCATTTACTCCACAAACATTTATTAAGCAAAAATTTTGGTGATAGGTGCTAAGACACAAAGATGGCAAAAATATAATCTTGGCCTCCCAAAATTAAGTCTGGAAACACAAAGTACTTTTAAATTGTACTTTTGAAAAAGTAACGACATGACCTTTAGACAGACACATATTTGGCTTTAGGAAAGAAAAAATCTATTAATTCTACATCAGAGCTAAGGCACTGCACTAAATGAAAGGGAACAATGTTCATTCCCCTATTTTTAATATGATTTAAGTAAGAGAAAATACCGGAATGCCCTTTGCAATTAGAATTTCTGGGGGAAAGGAATAAAAAGCAATTTTTAAAAACTCTCTAGATGACTTTCAATTTCAACAAATTCTGACTGATATTCTCTAATTTTAACCTTGGATCAAACAAGTTAGTGAATTTTTAATTTGCACAAGCAATTCAAAAGAGGTACCTGAATTATGATTCATCCATCCATTCATTCAATATTTAGTGAAAGGTATTTTGGTAATTCTTCGTACTGAGCTATATTTGCTATGTCATCCACAGGTTCTAGAGTGCATGGTTCCTGCCCCAAAATGTCTTTCAAGCAGGTCAGGGATTACAGAATCCATCTGTTGGAAACACTTTGACCCATACTTTATCAAAGGAAAAGATGCTTGATAAGCCACAAAAAGAATGATGGACAGGCAGCCTAGTGTGCATTTTGTGGGTGAATATGGGATGGAAGAGGTTAAATTCAGATTTGTTGAAGTGACTGAAAAAAAGCAGGGAAGCATAATTGCCGCAAAGTAGTGAAGAAGAAAATGGTTGTGCTGACGCAAGTCTTCCTGAAGTCATTTAAAGTACTAGCAACCCAGCTACTTGGTAACTGGAATGATAGTTGGTGTTACAGGGATCCTTTGGAAATTTTGTATATTTTGAAAAAGATTTCCTGTAATGTGTTGTCTGGTGACACCTCCCAATCACTGTCAAGGGCTAGCCTTCATTCTGTTATGAAGTCTTTCATCCATTTATTCACCCGTCCATTCATTTTTTTAAACAAAATTTATTGAGTACATGCAACATACTTAGCACTGATATAGGCTCTGAAACAGTCATTCAGCAATGCCAGCCTGAGCATGTGTAGAACCCTGAACGTGAATCCTCTTTTTTTCCCCCCTTGGACTAACCCCAAGTCTTACCACATTCTGTGTTTACAGTGTGATCCTTATTCCTAAGTGGAATGCTTATTTGTTGTTTCTTATTGTGGGCTGTCTATAGTTAGAGCAGACATAACTAGGCTTCAGTTTTTCTGATTACCAGTGCTATGTTTCAACATCCTGCAAATGACAAGATCAGTATTATCAGGTTCCTAATCTGCAACAACTTCACGTGAATTAGAAAGACTGAAGCGAGAGGGTAATTCAGTCATGTCTTAGTCAATTACATGTATATAAAGATACCTATACTTATCTAAGAAAGAGTCCAACCCAAAGATAAAGAATAGAAAATTTTAAAAAGTTTAAAAATTAGAATATTTGTAATCAATCTCATGTAATATTTCATCTTAGAACAAATACCTTCAAATTTTGCTGACAAAGGTATGATTATTTGTGAAATGCCTGATAATATTGTAATATACCGGATAAGTAGAAAAATAAATCACCAACATTATAATATATAATCTTTGAACTTACTATTTTGGACAAATGAAAAAATAATCCCCAAATTAATTCAAAGGAGACAGAAGTGTCTAATATTTATGCCTATATTATTGGTATTGTTAAATTTTATGAGACAAAACCATTTTCAATCTCATTTATATTATACATCGATATTTTTTACTTCATCGGCACCATTATGCTAAGTAAATATTTTATGTAAAAAACAGTGTTTTCATAAAACCAAGAAACCATTTTCCTAGGGAAATTTGATATGATAACCCTTATCCCAAATATGAGTATAACATTTTCAGTACTGACTACAGCACCCATTTTACTCTAGTTTAACATACTTCAGAGTGCATTTTATCATGTGCTTATCTATCATCCTTTTTACAAAGTAGCACTTATCAGCTCAACCATTTCCTAATGTTATGTACTAATGGTAATAACATTGTAACAGGTCCGAGAATGCTGTGGCCCAAACTACTCTGATTCCATGTGGCACTCACACCTGGCCCTGCATCATTCTTGTAGCATTTTAAGACCAGGTTAAAGACTGGGATCCTTTCATTTATGCTGATCCCAAGAATGACCTGACCTGGCTAAAGATCATTGCATTTCAAGATGTAAGATAACTTCTATTATATTTTTATTTTTGCTGATATTTGATTTAACCGGAAGGAAAACAAAAGAACAACTAAAGATTCATTTCTGCCTGTACAAACTGGACAGGTAAGAGTGCCAGAGTAACAAGTAGTTTCCAAATGCACAATGAATCACAGGAGTGCATTGGCCAAAGAGAATGCAAAATATCAGCTCTTGCTATATAGCTAACAATGTGCTGCTCTTTTTGGAATTAGAAAATTGTAGAACATACTTAATAACAACCAGTGGTATATGTTTTCATGTCAATGAAAAGTGGATAAATTTAGATTGTTGCTGTTTATGTGCATTTGATCAAATCTTTTCTGCATTTGACATGAAAATACACTCGTGCAGCTTTAGTTGGTTGGGTCACAATTTTAGAATGAAACAAACTATACCATTTGCAAACAAACATACAGAAGCAAGATCACGGATGACAATATGACTCTGACAGCTTACATAAGCTTTTTGCAGGACTTGATTTCAGAATATCGATACATGGACTCAAACAAAAGTCATTTCAGTTGTTAGCACCATATTTTAAAGAAAAAAATTCTCCTGTGGTGCTGTATCTAATCTTGTGACCCCCCACCTTTACCAAAGCGGATTGGCATTATGTTTCAGTTATTCTTAAATTACAGATCAAGAAAATACATACAGAAGACTGGGGGGTACGCCTAATGAGTTTTTCATATTTAAATTAAAGAAAATAATTACAAGATTTTCTGTGGGATTGATTTTCAGAAGCTAAATGCGACTAGTTCATCTGAGGGCAGCACAGTGGATATAGGAGCTCCCGCTGAGGGGGAACAACCTGAGGTGGAACCTGAAGAGTCCCTTGAACCTGAAGCCTGCTTTACAGAAGGTAAGCAAATCAGTGCCATGTATGGTCACTAGTCTCCTCTGTCAACTCTTGTCAATCTTTATCTATCTATCTATCTATCTATCTATCTATCTATCTATCTATCTATCTATCTGTCTCTCTACCTCTGTCTATCATCTGTCTATCTTTCTGTCTCTCCATCTCTCCATCTATCATCTATCTCTGTCACCATCATCCATCTATCTAGGACTTGCCTGTATCTATATACCAACTCTTCACTTATTTACTTTTTTTTTTTTTTTGCATTTTCTATATCAAAACAAAGGCAATTTATAAAAAGGCAAAACTTAATTTATGTAATTAGTTATTTTTTATTTTGGTGAATCCTTTTCAACTCTAAGAAATGCCACTAACTGACTTTTCAGTGGCCTTCTAGAATATCTTACAGGAGAGAAAGCCAACTCATATATTTCACTATATTTTAAAAATAAAATAAAAATATAATAAAGTAAAATAAGTAATTCATCATTTACTGTTTTGTCATATTATAATGGGTACTAATTGATAAGTGCACATTTAAATCTGTCCTTGAATAACAGTTCCCTATATCAGTGAAGGTCAAATACTTTTTTATTTCTGAACAAAGATAGATAAAAATGCCAAGATATGCTATGAGTCATATGATATGGAGCAATATGTCATTGGAATAATCTCAAAAGGGTTTCTGAAGAAAGCTAAAATTATATTATTTGAAGCATGGGTCAGTTATATATTGTAATAATAATGGTGTGTATCAAACTACCAGAAACCCTGGGCTTTAAGCTACTTTTCTAGACTTAACTCCTAATTCTTTCTGTGCAGCTTGTAGACTTTCCTGCCACTAAGTTTTGCTTGTATCATTGTTTCTCCATTCTTATAGTCTCATTGTTCTAGATATGATTCTTATATATCCTTCAAGATCTAGCCCCAAATCCACTCCTCCATAAAGCTCAAAAATTTAATATTACCAAAGAACCCTCATAATACTTTGTTTTGTGATAATTATTACTTTCTCTAACCATAGAATTCTTAAACAAACTTCCCCAACTTGAAATGCACATTCTTTGAGGGGAAGGCTATGTTTTACATGTTATAGTGTTATAATTTGTCCAACACTATTATTTGACTATAGCAGGTATTCAGTAAATATTTGTTGAAGAGCTTTTGATCTAGTAGTTCACAAATTATAGAAAGTTATTTATTAGATTATTACTGATAGTGGCCAGAATTAAAGCAACCTAGTCAATAATAGTGAAATAGCTATATAAATTATTGTAATCTTATTTAGAGAAGTATCATGAAATCTTTCACAGATCTATTTACTTGTTAATAGGATGAGAAATATTTATGTTATACCAGTAAATGAACTAATCAGAATTCATATATATATATTTATATTCCATATAAAGTGGAATAATACTTATATGATAAAGGGAGAATGGAAATTATTTTTCTTTTGTTTCTTCTACTTTTGCATATGTTATAGTAATATAATGTAATCCATTATTATAGTCCTAAACACAAAATTAAATATTTATTGAACAAACCCTTAAAAAGTCATTCGGATGATGTTGATTTCTATAAGTGGAAGCCATCTTAAAAAGTAATTTACAATGTGTTATCAGGCAGTAATGTAGATGAATCTCAGACTAACACAAGCATATATAATCAAAGAATCATTATTTTTTCTTCCTTAACTCTCACATACTTTAGACTGTGTACGGAAGTTCAAGTGTTGCCAGATAAGCATAGAAGAAGGCAAAGGGAAACTCTGGTGGAATGTGAGAAAAACTTGCTATAAGATAGTGGAGCACAATTGGTTTGAAACCTTCATTGTCTTCATGATTCTGCTGAGTAGTGGCGCTCTGGTAGGTGATGCATTATCTACTTCCACATCTTTTACCTGAAATCTTTTCCCTTTCCCTTTAATTAACCGGATATTACCCATTTTAAAAATAAGGTGTTTGTGAGAATGAGAGAAACCATGTGTCCTGTGTCCAGCACTGTGAGAAGGGCTCAATAAATAGCAACTTTTATTGCTCTGGTTGGAGTAGTCCTCAGATGGAATCAAGCTCAGATCATTATGGTTTCTTGTAATGTTTAAAGAAGGATCTTTTCTGACTTTTAATCATTAGAGGCAGTTATATTAAGAATGGCTATGTAACTATGATGTGAGATTATCAACTAAATATCAGACTGCTTAACCTAAGCTCCAGGCTGCAGGGAATTCATCTGTCTTGTTCACATGGTTTCACTATTGCCAACTACAGTGAATGGTAAATAGTAGACTAACTTAATTACTGACTAGTAGAAAAGTAAAAGCATTACAAAGTTAATTTATGTCTAATTTTATTCAATGAATTGATCAATTTGGTCAAATATTAACTAATATAATAAAAATAGTGTGACCCATTTTTCCAACTTGTGATGCAAATGTGGTTTCATTTCTTTTATTGTTTCAGTTAGTTACTAGAGAGTTTGGTGAGTTGATTTCATTAGCAGAATTACTGCATTTCATCTGGAGGTCTCTACACCCACTTCTGACTTGACTAAGAATCCTGTGTGTTGCCATGTATAGGTCCAAAGTGGGTCAGCCTTGCTTTCTGATGCTAAGCAGAAAAGGAACTGTGAAGTTCCATCAGCGACTAGTCCTTGCTATAGTAACTCTTGGTTCTCAATTACACTAAGCCAAAGCTCACAGAAGTGCACGAAAGTGCTGGCCCGGTCACTGGTTCCCTTGTGTGGAGCACTGGTCGCAAGTCCTGATCATTCTGGTCTCTAAAAAAGAAACATTTCCTTTGTCTTTGATCCAGGCCACCAGATCTCCCTGATAATTTTTTCCTGTAAGAAGATTGAGTTAGATAAATGATCTTTTCATTACAGAAGGCTGAGAGGTTCCTGCAAATGAGTTCTCTACCCTTTCCGAAGGCCTCTGCAAAATTATGTCAGTAAGAACTTCCAGACATACATATCACACACACACAGAAAGAGAAATAAAGAGAGATGGAGAGAGAAAGAGGCAGAGAAAGTGAGAGATGACAGTCCTTTCCCTTTTCCTCAGTAAGGGGTCTCCTTGCCTCATACTTGCATTCCAGTGAAGCTGTACTAAACAAAACAGATCTGCTCCCAGGTGACTTTTTACCTCCTGCTCTAGAGAGAAGCAGCTGGCAGTATCTCAGAAATGTTAAGTTCTTTTGGGGTACTCTGATACCAAAGTTTAAAAGTTATTTGAATTCCTTTGTTGACTGAAATGCCCAGTCAATAGTAATTTGTATACATATAAATATAAAGTAAAATGCAGCCAGAGGAGACACTAAGCCTTTCTGCCTCAGGCACCCGATAAGAGGTTTGCATCATTTTCTTTTTTAAGAAAACATTAGTTAGAGGATGTTTATGACCATAAAACTTAATAGAATTTTTTCACTTACAGGCCTTTGAAGATATATATATTGAGCAGCGAAAAACCATTAAGACCATGTTAGAATATGCTGACAAGGTTTTCACATATATATTTATCCTGGAAATGCTGCTAAAGTGGGTTGCATACGGTTTTCAAGTGTATTTTACCAATGCCTGGTGCTGGCTAGACTTCCTGATTGTTGATGTGAGTATTCTGCAGTGTCCTGTTTCCTTTCTTGGCATGTGATGATATGGACTAGTCCTGGCAATGATGCCTGGCACATAGTAGGCACTTAGTAAATAATGTACTTGCCCGAACAGAAATGATGTTTCCCATTTTCCAGTGAAAGGATGCCCCAAAATGCCTTTTGCCAGTTTAAATACGTACACTTTCATAGATGAAACAAATGACATTGTATTATACTTATTGATTTGGTTTCAGATTAAATATTTGAAATTCCAAGTTATATAAAATAATGTATCAATTTAGACATTTTACTTGTTTGACTTTCATATTTTCAAAATAACTGTATGTAAATTCTTAACAGGCATCGTGGACATTAGTGTCTTTGCCATTGCCAGAACCTGCTGAGAAATATTTGTTATACAGATGAATTATTAATTACAAGGAAATTTAAAAGTTCAAAAAACATAACTTGATATGTAAGATGGTAGAAAGGAATGTGTTAGTGACCAGGTTTTATTAAACTATATTGGTGTTAACATAAAGTAATATGGAGAGCCAGAAAATAAGAGGGTTTTCTGATAACTGAATATGAAGCAAATCTATTAACATATAAAGCTTACATGCAGAATTACACTAAAAGTCTTCTGACAATAAAAGAAGACAATAAATAATATTTAATTACATATGCTTGAACATTACAAATAATGGGAAATGCACCAAAACTATAACCATTCTTTGGTTTGTATAATGGGATTATGCATAACACTATTTCTCTACTCTATTTTTTTGTATGTGGTTCTGATAGTTTGGCAAATTTATAATAAAATATCTGTCATTTAATATATCTATGTAAGGATAAAGGCATTAAGTCAACACTATTTAAAGAAACTCAAGGAAAGTCTAGTCATCAAGTGCTAATGCTCATGTTACCTAAACTACCCTGATATTTACCTTTTTAGATTTAAGAGAACTATTATGATAATATATTGAACTGCTTAATACTTTGCTTTAAATCAAGCATACTTATTATTCATCTACTTTTGTTGTGAAGGATACAAATATAAATGTCATTTTTCCTGGTCCTGTGGGTGCTTACATCAAATAGTGAGGGCAGATATATATATAATGACACGCTGACACCCATATTAGAAGCACCATTCCCTTCATTTGAGGAAGGAGGAAGGGCTTCATGCAGGAAGTGGAAAGGGAGCTAGAGTTACAGTGATGAAAATATCAGCAGGCACAGATGAGAAAGGACACCACTGTGCTAAAACATCCATGCATGACATGCAGGGACAGTTCCAGAAACAAGAAGCAGTTCTCCAGGGCAAACATAGAGTGCCAGAGGATGAGGGGAGGGGTTTGTAATTGGATAATAAGGTAAGAAAGGTAAGTTAGAGAAGAATTTGAAGAACCTGAGAAGCCATCTAAAGAAATTTGAACTTACAAGTTAAGTAAAAGGGAAGCCATTGAAGAATTACAGTTATGGAAGTGACATGACCAGCTTGTTCTTTTAGGAAGAGAAGCTTAGTGGGGGTGTGAATGATGGAATAGAAAGGGGATTATTTAGGAACCAAAACACCAATTAAAAGATTGCTGCATTACCCAAGAAGAAGGCTTAAAATGTATCTCCTTTGCACATTTAGCCACAAAAGTCATTGAAAATTAGATATTTTACCACCTCTTTTAATCAGCCAATAAATACTACCCCTGCTCAGAATATTTTCTTATGTCTAACGTTTATCTTTCATCCTTTAACTTATGCCTGTCTCTTTTTGGTTCTGTCTTCAGAGAAGGTAAAGTACTACAGGTCCTCATATCTTATATACAGAAAATCTTCACAATTCATGATAATTCAGTAACTATTTTTCAATTATCTGTGAAGAGGGGACTTCAAAGCCTAAAAGTTTAGATTTTACAGTAACTATATGAACATGTATGATACGATTTTATAGCTCATGTTTTTTCTGTATTCAGAGGTTTCACTTTCAGATTTGCACGTGAAAAATTATTTTGGATAAGTCCTTTTTTTGTAACAGTTTTCTATGTGCTTCACTTATTTTTCTTAAAAATATATTTTTCAAGTTATCTATTAATGCCATACTCTTAAAAGCTATATTGCACACTTATTTTTGCTTATCTGCTTTTGAAATTCAAGTATACATTAGGACAAACTATCTTTTCTTTGCTTATATAGTTTTAATGAGTTTTCTATATGTTTTCAAGGGAAATTTTTTATGTCTATGTTACCTATGACAGTTTTTCTTTTCCTTTTTAGCTAAGACTTTAGAATTTTTACCAACTACATTAATATCTGTATGAATGACTAAAGAAATCATTGTTCTTGCAGTTTCTAATTAGTTATATTAAAAAAATCTCAACTTAAAAAAGTACTAATTTTATTTGACCTAATTAATAATTTTATGTTTTTCATACTGAATTTTGCAAAAAAAAAAAACCAACAAAAAAAACAAAGCTGCTATTTAGAGGTTTGGGCTTTTCTGGTTGTGTTTATGTTCATATTCACAGGGGTTTGTGTCGTTGACTTAGGTACCAAGTTTTAATTTCCATTTCAGTTCTGCTAAATAATATGAGGAATGACACAGAAAGAAAGTCTTAAGCTCTGTAGATAAAGATCACCTTTTACTCTCTCTGTTCCCTCTTTTTTTCTTTACTTTCAATTAAAAAAAAATTTCCTGGCAAGAACCTTGAAGCGAATACATATATGAAGGTGATCCCCCAAAAAACTGGAATTATTTTTTGAAGGATGGCTCCCTTGTAGTATAGGCTTCCCCCTTTAGATAAGTCTTCTAGAACACATCTGCATCAGTGTGTCAGCTAGAGTTGTGAGAGGCTACATTCGACTTAAGTGAATTTTTCTTGGAGATTCTTTCAACTCATTTACTGATTTCATGATGGGTGATTTATGAATGCACCTGCCCTCACCGTGCTGAGTATTCAGCAGTTTTTGACCAAAGACAACATGACCCCTGTGCCCCACCCTCCCTATTCACCCAATCCTGAGAGACTTTTTTTGTTTTCTGGAGGAAAGAAGTCCTCAGAGGTGAAACAAAAAATGGCAGAAGCACTAAAACTGTTGAGTGCAAAACTGTTTTGAGCAGTGGAGAAAGTGTTTTGATAGGTTTATTGTATCAAATGGTGAGTGCTTTGAAGGTGACTGAAGTTTAAACATGTAAGAAGAAGTACACAATTTTTTATAAATAAATTTCGGGTTTTTTGGGGTTCCCCTCTCATATAGCTTATTTTTATAAACTTGTGGAGGTGGTAGTTCTCAAAGTGTAGTCCATGGACCAGCATCCTTATCCTCACGTGGGAACCTGTAAAAATGCAAACTCTCAGGCCCACCCCACATTTAGTAAATCAGACTCTGCCAACTATCAATGTTTTTGTTTTGTTTGTTTGTTTTTGAGTCAGGGTCTCACTCTGTCACTTTGACTGGAGCACAGTTGCATGATCACAGCTCACCACAGCCCCAAACTCCTGAGCTCAAGGAATCTTGCTGCCTCAGTCTCCCAAGTAGCTAGGACTATAAGCGAGCACCACCACACCTTGCTAATATTTTTTTTTTTGTAGAGACAGATCTCACTATGCTGCCCAGGCTCATCTCAAACTCTTGGGCTCAAGCATTCCACTCACCTTGGCCTCCAAAATTGCTGGGATTACAGGTGTGAGCCACCAGCATCCAGTCAATCAGTGTTTTTAAACAAGCCCCTGGGTGATTTTGAAACTCCCTAAAGTTTGAGAATTACTGGTTTATTGCATAGAGCAAAGTTGAACTATACCAACATTGTTATTTGTAAATAAGACAATTGTGTTGCTTTTTTCTGCATAGGTCTCATTGGTTAGCTTAACTGCAAATGCCTTGGGTTACTCAGAACTTGGTGCCATCAAATCCCTCAGAACACTAAGAGCTCTGAGGCCCCTGAGAGCCTTATCCCGGTTTGAAGGAATGAGGGTAAGACCAAACGCTTCAGAATTTTTTGGAATCATCATTGAGAACAGACTTTGTGCCTTAGAAATAACAGGTTTATGGAATGTGCCTTCTACATTCATATTGACAGAGACAATCAATCAAAAATAATATTTCTCAGATGTCCATAATACTTGGCACATTTGAAGGTACTCACAGAGAATAATGCCTGAGTGGCTGTTTCAAATGAACTAGATTTGCACTTGGTTGAAAATTATAGGTTACGCAGGCTGCTGATCTGAATCAAGATTAAGTTATGTTCACTCCATTTATAAATGTGCAGGAAATCCTACTTGCTGTAATTTAAAAAGACCAAATCATGACTCATCATTTCTTCACTACTCTGCATAATGTACTTCGAGCCTTCTGAAGTTCGAATTTGCCTTTCAATTTTCAAACACAGGCTGAAATGGCTAAAAAGTAGGTCAACTGTAGAAATCTAACACTCATTTAGAAAGGTGGTACAAAGAAACAGGAAAGAATTTGAGCTGACATTTGTCATCCCCTGGGGCACAAACCTGAGACCACATGTCCTCACCTCCTAAAGAATGATGATGCCCTGTCTTAGTGGTTTTAGCTGTTAAAAGGTGCTTTTAGAAAATGATGCTTTTTGTGATATATGACAATAGCTACTTAGATTTGAGCTGCATGTTGCAAACACAACCAGAGACGAATGGTGTGTGTAGGTGTGTTTCTGTGTGTGTTTATCTATGTGTGGCTACACAGAGAGGAATTGTTAGCTGTTAAATTCTTTTTACTTTACCAGTTTGAATCATAGTCTTTGCAGTAGTAGACTTAATAAACAAAGGGTATCAAACTTCTAGTACTAGAATAATTTTTTGTGTTTTCTGTGCAGAATTTGGTCCCCAATTGTTCTCTTTTAGTCTCAAAATTTGAATAGAAAATTGTACAGTTTGTATAATTTTTAAAAAAAAATTGTGGTGTTCACATGATGGCCTTACTCCTATACCCATATCCCTATTTGTACTCTTAATTATTCTTGACTTTTTTAATTTTAAATATGTGGTATTTATTAGTTCCATTATTTGAGGAAAATTTGCAACATGTATATTCTTACCTCTTGAAAAAATATTCTATAACATTTATTTTTTACTCTTGTGAATTATAATTTAAAAATCTTAGTTGGAGCAACCAGAGTCTAGTTTCTATGCACCATTCACTTTGAAACAGATGTTTTCTATCATTTGGTGGCTATTTTTTAAGTAATGTTTAAAAAATAAGCAAATGTTGGTTGTTGGCTTTTCACTTATTTTTCCTTCTCATTCTGTGCCAGGTTGTTGTAAATGCTCTTCTAGGAGCCATTCCTTCCATAATGAATGTACTTCTGGTTTGTCTGATCTTTTGGCTAATATTCAGTATCATGGGAGTGAATCTCTTTGCTGGCAAGTTTTACCACTGTATTAACTACACCACTGGAGAGATGTTTGATGTAAGCGTGGTCAACAACTACAGTGAATGTAAAGCCCTCATAGAGAGCAATCAAACTGCCAGGTGGAAAAATGTGAAAGTTAACTTTGATAACGTGGGACTCGGATATCTTTCGTTGCTTCAAGTAGTAAGTAAACACTTTATTATTCTTTGTGATTGATAATTAAAATGAATCTAAAGTTCTTCCTCACAATGAGACATCCTCTCATACCTGTTAAAATTGCTGTTATCAAAAAGACGAACCATAACAAGTGTTGGTGGAAATGTGAAGAAAAGGGAACCCTTGCACTTGTTGTAGGAGTGTAAATTAGTGCAGCCATTACAAAAAGCAATATAGAGGTTCCTCAAAAATTTAAAAACAGAACTATCATAGGACTCAGTAATCCCATTACTAGGTATCTGTCCAAAGGAAATGAAATTAATATATCTGAGAGAGATATATACTCCCGTGTTCACAGCAGCTTTCTTCACAGTCGCCATGGTATGGAATAACCTAAATGTTGCCAGAAGCTGTGGGGTAGGGGAAGAGAGATGGTCAGAGGATACAAAATTTCAGTTAGACCGGAAAAATAAATTCTGGAGATCTATGGTATAGCATGTTGGCTATAGTTAATAACAATGTATTGTATACTTGAAAACAGCTATGAGAGTAGATTTAAGTTTTCTTATCACAAAAATAAATATGTGAGGTAATGCATGTTTATTTGAATTAGCCATTTTACAATGTATACATATTTGAAAACATTTTGTACAGCATAAATACATACGGTTGTATTTGTCAGTTAAAAAATAAATGAATGGGTCGGGCACAGTGGCTCAGGCCTGTAATCCCAGCACTTTGGGAGGCCAAGGAGAGAAGATTGCCCGAGCTCAGGGTTTCAAGACCAGCCTGGACAACTTGGTGAGACACCGTCTCTACAATAAATCAAAAAATTAGCTGGGCGTGGTGGCGCACGCCTGTGGTTCCAGCTGCTTGGAAGAATGAGGCGGAAGGATAGCCCGAGTCCAGCAGGTTAAGGCTGCAGTGACCATGAGCAGTATGCCACTGCTTTCTAACCTGGGTGACAGAGTGAGACTTTTATTCACAAAAAAAAAAAAAAAAGAACTTTAAAAGAATGTAAACAAAAATACATATACTTTTTAGGAATACTATATAGATGCAACATACCAAATGAAAAGAATAAAATAAAATTCTTCTTCAGTGTTTGCAGATACTTTCTTGGGCTTGTCTTCCTAGATTCCTCCTTATGATACTTAACTATCTTATCTACAAAGTTTGTGGTGTCTCAGACTCTGCATTAGGTGGCCTAGCACAAGTCCTTTGTTACTGGAATTTCTAAGTACCCATTGTCCTCCCCTCCTCCCTTCCTGCTCTGAGCAAAGTAGAAGTGCTGGGAGGTGGAGTTGGGGTTGGCTGGAAAGGTATGTGTGTGTGGGTAGATTTCTAAATTCCTTCTCAAGTATCAGGCAGTATCTAAACCCTTTCAAGTCTCCCTCTACCTACCCAAACTTTACCACCGTTGTAACGAGACCCCACCCACCTTCCTACTCTCACAGGGACTCCCACACTGTTCCTGTAGTCTTGCCTGCTGGTTGAACACTTTCAGATAGGAGATTTGCTCTCTTACAAGTAAAAGTCTTCCTATCAAGACTATTATGTCTTCTATAAATTCATAAGAATTATTTAGCTCCTCAACTGACCACAGTATATCACATCTACTGGCTCCTGGAGGTGAACCATCTACACAACTCTCAACACTATGAGAATAGTCAGAGGCAGGACAAAGCCTGTGGCACTAAGGAATTGAAAAGGTGTGAAAGACATTTGTTTTCAGAATTACTGTGTCCACACAACACAAAAGACATATTTTAGGAGAGTAAATACTATAGAATGTATATTTGTTTTCAGATTAAGAAACTGCTACCTCTTATAGAATAATTTCCTCAAAATAGTATGCTCAACAATATAAAGGAGATTTTCAAGAGTAAACATGCATGACTGGTGATTGGTAATAATGCCATTTAGAAGACAATAAGTAGAAAAACAGCATTAAGATAAATGATGCAGCCTACTTTTGAACTTGTCTCCTGCTGATACCAAATACATGAAATCCTTTCATCAAATTGTACGTTTTATTCTTACAACCATATCAGAGTAAAAAATTATGGATATTGTTTTTATGATAGCATATTGTTATAGTAGAGCAATATTTAATTATAAATGTTAAATTTGCATATAAAGATGCTACGGGAAAATATAAAATTGAAGTATTTTCAATGCATGAATTATAAAGCATTTCCCAAAGAGTTTAAATACTAACTTCAAACTGTTTTATGTACCTATGTTTGAATACAGGTCAGATTATCTTGGTCAATTATTCTGTTCCTTAATTTATTTTCTAAAATTATAATTTGGGGAAAAAATGAAATGTTATAATATTTTTTACAGGCCACATTTAAGGGATGGATGGATATCATGTATGCAGCTGTTGACTCAAGAAATGTAAGTCTATTTTAAGGGAAATTGTTTAATTTGAGCAAGTGACTATTTCCACAGTATAGTAATGTAGTGATAATGTCAGTAAAATAAAACGATGTGCTCAACTTATAGGATAATTTATCTTTTAAAAATAAAATATTTAATCTTATATTAGTGCTCTCAAAATTTGATTAGGATGGCTTTTTTCTTTTTACTCGTGATGAATATCTTAACATATCTTTTCTAATATTTAGCATGATACAAAAATTTATTGACTGTATTTTTAAAATGAGACATTTTATTTTTGGCCCTGATAATCTAGGCCATTTGTGCATCAGAAGTCCTCACAGATAATTTTCTTCATCTGTAATAGATTTCCTCCAGCTTTTGATCTTCCTTGTAATAGAAAGGATATGACTAATGGTAGGGACAGAAGAGAAAACAAGCAGGATACCAAATAAACAAAATCTTAATAGTGTTCCTCTCTAGAAAATGAGATTAAGTGGTAGAAGGGAAGGACTTACATAATCTACCTTAGCACTTCAGTATTTTGACATTTTTTCTACAATTTTCATTAATTTCTCATTAATGAAGAATGAGATCACATTTTGGAAAAAAGAGATTGATTTTTGGTATGCCAAGGGATGGTAGTAAAGCTCAAAATGCCATTTCCCAAGTATCAGCAATTAGCTTTTGGAATGAAGTATTCCTGAAACTATTTTTTTCTATTTTATAAAAACCGGGAGAGAGATAATGCTAAAAGCCCTGCATTGCACTTCTGTAAGTGCTGTCAGGAATTTCAGTTATGAGCTTTTTCTGAATAATAATAATAATATTGCTATTATTATTATTTATTATAGCTCACTATATTAAGGAATTTCTTACATTATCTCATTTAATCCTAAATAACAACTTTATTATATAGGTCCTACTAACTCCATTTTACAATTAAATCGAAGCTTGATGCATTAAATGGTAGAACTTGTTATTTGAACTCTGACCACAAACAATGATTCATAACCCCTTTCTACAGTAGTTTCCTACTTTTAATTCATTCATTCAAAGTTCTCTCCACCTTCCTTATCAACAGTTTATATGGCATACAATGTATTTTCAGTTTCTTCCTTAGAAAGACTTATTTTCAGACTCAGCAGACTGCTACAAACTCCTCAGCATTCAAACACATTACAAAAGATGAAATCCAAATGGGCACTAAAATTATAAAAGTTGCTGGCTCTTATTTTCATTGTATATTGCATCAGAGAAATACAAATTTAAACCAAAATGAGACATTGTCTACAGACCTACCAGACTGTCATTACTAAGAATACCTGACAATGCCAACCAAGTGCTACCAAGGATAAAGAACAATAAAAACACTCATACAATGTTGGTAGGAAAAAATAGATAAATATTCCTTTAAAAACAAATCAGCATGATCACATTACTTGCCAGAGTTCAGGACATTATTTAGCCCTGCAATTCTACTGTGAGCAATATATTCTATAGAAACTTATGCACATGGTTAGGATAATCTGTACAAGAATGAATATAACCTTTTTTTGCACTAGTAAAAACTTGTAAACAACTCAAAAATAGTAGAAATGAACAAATATTATATTTATTAATATATATATTATATTATATAGTGATGGAAATGAATGAAAACAGCCATCTACAGCCATCTACAGCCATGGGGATGAAACTTAAAAGTATAACACTGAGCTAAAAAAAGAAAAAAACTAAACACATACTATGATTTTATGTATATAAAGTTCAAAAATTTATAAAACTAAGTTTATTGTTCAAGAATGAATACTCAGATGTTAATTCTAAAGGAAAAGCAAGCTCATAATTACCACAAAAGTCAAGTTAATGATTACTTCTAGGACAGATATTAGAGTTTATGTTTGAGAAGGATACACTTAGAGTTTCTGAGATCCTAACAATGTCCTGGGTTGTGGATTTTACTTTATAAGTATGTATTACATTTTACATGTATGTGTTATGCACTTAAATGTATGTGTATTATCTTCCATTTTGTTTAAAAAGGTACTTTTATATCACTGTTCACTAAACGTACATATACATAAATAAAAGTTGCATAAAAATGAATTGTCCTGTAATATTTCTCACATTTTTTATTTTACCCTATTTCATTAGAAAAAATATTATTTTGATCATGATCCTCTATATTGATTTCACAACACAATGAGTCATAAACTGCATCCATTATCACCAGTGATTGGTTTACCAAGTTGGTTAGAACAATGTCCTGTAAGGCCTGAACTACAGATTTACAGCCAAAGCTCAGAACAGCTTTCTCACATTTTTCTAATTAAAAATGAACTAGGCAGCCGGGCTCGGTGGCTCAGCCTGTAATCCCGTGCCTTTGGGAGGCTGAGGTGAGTAGATTGCCTGAGCCCGCGGGTTCGAGACCCGCCTGGGCAGCGAGACCTCATCTCTACAATAAGTCAAAAAATCAGCCGGGCGTGGTAGCGCATGCCTGTAATTCTGGCTACTTGGAAGGCTGAGGCTGAAGGATAGCCAGAGCCCAGCAGGTCGAGGCTGCGGTGGCCGGGAGCGGCCACTGCACTCCAGTCTGGGCGACAGAGTGAGACTCCAACTCAAAAAAAAAAAAAAAAAAAAAAGGACTAGGCTGGACTCAGTGGCTCAGCCTGTAATCCCAGCACTTAGGGAGGCCAAGGAGAGTGGATTGACTGAGACTGGGGGTTCGAGACCAGTCTGGGCAACTTGATGAGACCTCATCTCTACAATAAATAAAAAAATTAGCCAGGCTTGGTGGTGTGTGTATATAGTTCCAGCTACTTGGAAGGCTGAAGCCAAAGGATCGCTTAAGTCCAGCAGGTAGAGCTTGCGGTGGCCGTGAGCATGCCACTGTACTCTAGTCTGGGCAACAGAATGAGACCCCGACTCAAAAAAAGACAAGGGAGGGTATCTTTGTTATAGAAACAGTGCCTACTGAATAGGATAAAGCAATAAACTCATTTATTTTCAGAAAGAAAAGATTCTACCAATATGCCTATATGCAGACATACTATATTGATTCTAGCCTATCTAAAGAAATGTGTAATATATAGCAAATCCTTCCACTGAGTAGTTTACTACTGACCAGGCATGTTCTGAGCACTTTTTGTATGTTCATATGTGTAAACTTCACAACTACCTTATGAGGTTTCAGTTCTATTATTTCTCTTTTACAGTTGAGAAAACTGAGGCAGAGAAAGTAAATCTTAGAGGTTTTAACATGGAATAGTATGCCTCTAAGATCTCTTCTATATGAACAGGAAATCCTTGATTTGCATACCGTATTGGACAAAATTATTTATAATCACACAGACTTTTCTACAAGTCATTTTGTTTTCCAAATTCAGTGAATAGTCTTATAGGACTCTTCAATACATGTGTTAGATTTGAAGGTTGAGAAAATCTGTTTAACGTTTGATTTATTTTCAGTCCAGGGATTAAACCATGCCTAGAGAATTGAAAATTAACTGATGTGCTTTTTATGAAACTAGTATTAGATCTAATAATTACCCTTCTTCATATTTTGTAGGTAGAATTACAACCCAAGTATGAAGACAATCTATACATGTATCTTTATTTTGTCATCTTTATTATTTTTGGCTCATTCTTTACCCTGAATCTTTTCATTGGTGTCATCATAGATAACTTCAACCAACAGAAAAAGAAGATAAGTATATTAAAAGTTCATATTTACTTAAAAATGTGAACTAATATGTCACACTGTTTTCTTTAGCCTCCCAATGCAATCAACAAAAGAAAAGAATATAACATTCATAAATTATTTTGAGAGATTTAATAAGCTGTAAGCGTCTAAGCAATTAACAATTCAGATAGCACGTTTTGAAATTTTTAGTCTAGAGAAATGATTGACTGATATGGTATAATTTATATATTAAATATATGTATCACCATAAACACAGATCTTAGCAACATTAGAATGAAATGTGTGAGCCAAGTTTCACATGATTACTAAGGTAGGTTTTATAGCCAGTAATGAACAAGATTTTAACAGATTTTGCTTTCATTTCTTTACTTTGGAGGCCAAGACATTTTTATGACAGAAGAACAGAAGAAATACTACAATGCAATGAAAAAACTGGGCTCAAAGAAACCACAAAAACCCATACCTCGACCTGCTGTAAGAATCGCATACTTTCATTGCCAGTTAAAGCTATGTTATCGATCACTTTCACAGCCCAAATTGCCAGAAACTAGTATTTTTGTAAATTTGCAACACAAAGTTTTAACTTAACAATGTGACTAATTATCCTAAATAGCCTATGTGTGTTTTATATATATATATATATGTCTAAATTATATAATATATAAACATACAAGAAATATATAAATAAAAATTTCAGACTTAAATGTCAGTATTATCCCACAAACTGATGTCATTGAGAGCTTTCAGTAATGTAGAGAAAAAATTACATATATACACATACACACACATATAATGTGAAAATATTGAAGGTTCCCAGAGTGCAGCAGGGGCTGATTGGAATAATTGGTACATTTAACTAGGTCCCATTTGCATTTTGTCTAGTTCTGCAGATTGAATGAAACCATGAATAAAACAGGTTTTTTTTCTAGTTAAAAAAGCCAAACTTTATTATTTTCCCCTACTATCTTGTGCCTAAATGAGATGATATCAAGCTTTCTATGACCTTCTACAGCTCCTCTAATTGTATATTTGCCAGTGACTACTGGTTCTGTTCGGCTGCTGCAGGGTATTGTTGTCAGTAGAATCCCTAAGTTTTTCTATCAATCCTGAGGGAATGATTCCAATATCAAACCTCACAACTCTCCCTTCCTCCAGCATATACATGGTGAAAGGTAAGTCAGTGTTCCCAAGGAATTTTGAATCTGTTGGTAATAATAGAAAACTGACCACGATCAAGTGTGTACTTTGTAGTCAGCCAATAGCTCAAAGAAAGTGAGTAACTATATTGGATAAAACATAAAGTATGTGTACAATTTGAGCCTAGTATTTAGGAAATGTAATTTGAATGGTGGAAAGAAAAGCAGAGGACCTCTCTTATGTGAGAAAATGTGTACTCGATAGTCATGGAAATAAGTATATCAGTGGAAAAGAGTGATGTATTTGAATTAGTGAGTAGTACAAGATTTTCTGGGCTAAACAAGTCAAGGTTACCACGAGTCTGAAGAAACTGATCTTAATTAAGCAATGCAAACACAATATAGTTAAGAGAACAACATTGTAATGTGAAGCAAACGAGTTTTTAGACAGTCTAACTCAGAGACTGGTCTGGGAGGATGTGAGAGACAAGATAACCCTGAGCCATAGTCAAGAAGACGAGTCTATAATGTGGGACCATGCCCACAGGACTGGAACTAATTCAGGATCTAATTGAGTCAATAAGAGGACTCAATGGGAGGAGGCAGTTATAGACTATAAGAAAAGAGGGAGGATGTGTAGATAATGGAGACTCTAAAACAGTTGATGTTTTGTGAATTTATTGGTTCTGCCTATGTCACTTGAAGTCTTATTGGAAATACTGGAAATCCAGTCTTAGATCCTATGAGATGTACAGACTGAGATAAAGATTTTAGGAGATAAGGATTTTGTCAGAACAAACTCAGTTGAGCTCTGTAGCACAGAATCCTTTTAAAAAAAATAAGGAGAATAGAATTTTTGAAAAAGTCCTGATCATGAAGCCTTGGGTGTATCACCAAATTATAGGCAGGAAGAAAATTAATCAGAGGAGATTAAAAGTATTACTATATATCAAATGACATATAGTTTTACCTGAGTAAGGGTAGGGAAGAATGGGAAAAGATCAGTACATTTAGCTAGAATAGTATCCGTGAAAATTTGGCAAATTAGGAAGTAAACTGGTAAAATTAATTCATTAACAATATGTACCAGGTACTATACTAAGCATTTGGGATTAAATATTGAACAATGTAGAGTCTAGTTAATGCAAAATATAGTAACCACATAGTCAAACTAACCGATGGAAATATCTAAGAAGGAAAAGATACATTTGGTTATGAGAACTGAAAAGGGGGTAGGGGGAGAGGGGAGAAAACTGATTGACTAATCAGCAAAATTAGGGAAGGCTTTATTAAAGTAATGCATCCACTGAAGAACAAAGAATTGGAAAGTACCAATAGCCAGAGTGGGATGAGAAGAGCTCTGTAGACAAAGAATGCACATGTGAAGATCCTTAGGTAGTAGGGCCAGTAGGACTGGAGTGCCGAGATGGGGGTTCATTGGGGACATGTCAAGAATAAAGAGGTAAGGATGGGCCAACCTTTTCTGGGCCTCATAGGCCATGTTCAAGGGTTGTTTTTACCTTAAGAACAGTGGAAACCATTGAAGGGGACCTGGCCGGTTTGCTTTTTTTGATGATCGCTCAATCAGTTTGACACAGGCAGCGTGTATATATTGTAGACTTGTTTTGGAGCTATTTCAGAAATCATAGATGGCCCGAGCCAGAATGAGGTGGAGATGAATAAAAGTGAATAGGTCTATGAGCTGTCACTGTTATGACATTTCAAAGTTTGTCTATTACTTGAGTATGGGAACTGAAAAGGGAACCAAAAGAATGGCTGATGAATTACTGCTTTGCACAACTGGATGACTAGTGGTGTCAGGCAGAATCTGAAGATGGAACACAGTGGTGAGAAAGTTTGAGATGCTAGTTTATAGAACTTGGTAACCAAAAGTAGAGTGAAAGAGGGAGGGAGAGGGGAGAGGAAGAGAGATGAATATTTAGAAGTAGTAGTAAAATAAAATTTTCTTGAGATTGAGACATTAGGTTTAAAGCAAAGCAAAAGGAGTTCTGGAAAGGAAAAGACTGAAGAGGGAGGGAATACATATGGAATAAAGTTGCACAGGATGTGGAACAAGAACACAGTGATCTAGGTTAGATTTAGAGAGAAAAGGGGACTGAGTTCTCTAATGAATCTGAAGCAATATATGAAGAGAATGTGGTGGCTAGGTGCAGTGGCTCACACCTATAATCCCAGAACTTTGGAATATCAAGGTAGAAGGCTTGCCTGATCCCAGGACCAGCCTAGGTAACATAATGAAACTTTATCTCTACCAAAAAAATTAAAAAATTAGCCGGGTCTGGTGGCAAATGCCTGTATTTTCAGCTACTTGGGAGGCAGAGGCTGAAGAATTGTCTGAGCCTTGGAAGTGGAGGCTGCGGTGAGCCATAATCATGTCACTGCACTCTAGCATGGGTGACAGAGTGAGAGAACCTGAGGGGGGCGGAATTAAAACAAGAAAAGAAAGTGGAAATCAAGTTGATATGAAATGCAAAAGAAAATAGAGGAGTATCTTTACATTATATTCCCCCAAAAGCAGTAAAAACAGACGGCAAGAGAATGGAACATTTCTGAGAAGTTTGGAATTATTCTGGGAGCAAATGAGGAACAAAGGATTGCTAACTGTTAATCTGAGGGCAACAGTGAAGTTAGAGAACATAAATCTTTGATGAACAAAACCTTCAGGGTTATACATCTTCTTCCAGCACACTTGACACTCTAGGATTTAAATTGGAGACAGCAATCAGTGACTCGAGATTGATGTTGTACATTGAGGTATCCTGTTGGAAAACTATATGGGCAGAGAATCTGAAGAGCTTTTTCTGGGTCATGCTAATATGAAAACTAAGACTAAAATGTTGCTTTTGAGATATTTTGAACTTGCTACACCCAGGGACTATATCTGTGAGGAAAAAAAGAGTGACACTGCTGTGCCCTTTAGTAGCCTCCAAACAAGTGGAATAAAGAGAAAGCTAAAATAAGAGTAAACCACAAGGAATATAATGTGATAAATTTTATAATCGGTGAAAGAACACAGTTTACTGAGAGCACAGAGTGCTTAAAACTGAGTTAGAATTCACCAGACAGAGAAGGGGTAGGGGATGTGTGTTTCAGACAGATAAGGTAAAATTATAGAGTAGAACCTACATATGTTACCAAGAGTGGGTAGATAGGAAGTATCAGATTGGTGGAAATAAAGGGAACATGCCAGACTTGGAAAGGTAAGCTGAAGTAAGTAAGAACTGAGAAGGAAGGATTTGAACTAGAAGTAGACAAATTAGGTTGAAGGAGGTCCTGGAGTGACAGATCCAACTGAAACAATAGAAGTCCAGTCTAGCAAGTCAAATATGAATTCAGAGAAAAGAGTAAAGCAACATAGGACAGGTAGTGTTTGAAGTACAAACATTTCAACTAGAAGTAGGATAAGCCTGGCAACAGGGAAAGAATACTAGTATGAAGACCCTAGACCAATAAAAGTGTCAGGATCTGAGGAAGCAAGCCATGAAGTGTATAGGTAGCCGAGTACTGGTGGTTCTATTTCAGAAGATAGACATAACCCAGCAGAGGTAAGTCAAGACCCGAGTCTTGGAGTGTCTGAAATGCCAAACACATCCAGGCAAAATGGAATAAAATGTGAGCCAATGATCAGAACTGGTTTACAAACTCGGGACTTAACTTCATAAGCAAGACATAAGACTGGTAAGTAATTAGAAATAAGGTCCAAATTGACTGGGGCCAAATATATCCATGGTGAACTATAATTATTTAAAAGATAATTTTATTCTTAGAGAAGAGTTACCCACAGTCTCCACACAGATTTCCCTGATTTTAATATCTTACATAATCATACGTTGTTATCAAAACTAAGAAATTAACCTTAATTCCATTAAATGAAGTATAGAACTTAATCAGATTTTACCAGTTTTTCCATAATGTCCTTTTTTTGAACTATAATTTTTGAAACATCTTCTCAGCTGAACTTTAAGATGGAATTCAAGATGCTGTAGCTTTGGTGAGAGAATATAAGGTCAGAAACCAGAAAAAAAAAAAAAGCATAAGAGGAAAACCTAGAAGAGTAATTGTTTATTAGTTCTTGAAAGTTAAATGTAATACTTCACTCTAACAAATGTAATAAAATGATTTATTACAGTGGCAAATATTTACTAACTGTCCATCATATCATGATGATATTCTGAGCATTATGAACATAAAAGGTGGTTTTTAACATAGAATCACTTTATAAAATCTGGTATAATGAATAATATAAATTTTAAAATATTTGTTGGAGAAGAGTTGGATATTATGATACACAAAATTTTCTTTCAAGTGTAAAACAAACAGTGTGTGTTTTTATAAAAGCTATATTTTCATAATTGCTTTGTTAAAATCAGATAAGTTGAATTTTTTTTTTAAGTTTCTAAGGGAGCTTTTACATATTATTTGTTCCAGAACAAATTCCAAGGAATGGTCTTTGATTTTGTAACCAAACAAGTCTTTGATATCAGCATCATGATCCTCATCTGCCTCAACATGGTCACCATGATGGTAGAAACTGATGACCAGAGTCAAGAAATGACAAACATATTGTACTGGATTAATTTGGTGTTTATTGTCTTGTTCACTGGAGAATGTGTGTTGAAACTAATCTCTCTTCGTTATTACTATTTTACCATCGGATGGAATATTTTTGATTTTGTGGTGGTCATTCTCTCCATTGTAGGTAAGAATAGGTGCTTTTCCTCAATTAAAAAAATCTATTAATAAAAATGTGTGTTAAAAACTTGAGTTTTTTTTTCACTACTCTTTATTATCATTTATCCTGAACTTCCAAATTAAAATCTAATAGTTTATTCTTTAGTTTGTCATTTTCTCTAATAGCATGCTGTGCATGAAATAATGTATAAAAAAGGAACATTATTTTTAGCTTTCATGTGTCATCTTGTTTCATCTCAGAAGACAATAACTGCAACTTTGTCATAATATTCCTGTATGGGTCATACTCTTGTGATATTGACTTGAACAGACAACTCATATGCATGTATGCATGAATCATTAGAAGTAGTTACATAATCCATTAATATGATCTTTTTGATAATTGGGATAGTGTCTGTGAGCTTTTATATACATAATCACACATTGGGTTCAAGTAGTTTTCTATTGTTTATAATATTTCTCTTTCAAAATACACATTTTGTTTAAAAATACAAAATAAATGCACACTCATTAATATATAGTAAATATTTATATATAGGATATTAAATAGGTGCTGTAAGTAAATATAAGAAGATCTAAGACAAGACAAGGCTCTGCCTGTTTGAGGAAAAGGAGCTTATACATGGACAGAAATATAGTATACTACTTTCTCTGGTAGAATAGAACATTGTAACAATGTGCCATTCCATTTGATCCTCATATCAATGCTCTAAGGTAATAATATTGTCATTAAGAGATGGGATTTGGGGCTCATACAGCTCTAACCTGGAGCTTCCCTATTTCCGCTACTCACCTGCTCTATGACCTAGGGCAAGTTACCTCAGCTCTCCAATTTCTAGTTTTCCAAGGAATATTTCTATAAAGTGTGGTAAGGATTAAATCAGATTATGTAAGTAAATGCACTTAGCACTGTACCTAGCATGAAGAAAAGATTCAGGAAGTGTTAAGTTTAACAACAAAGTTGATATTATCACCATTTAGTCATGCATACAATCAAGAGCCAGAATTCAGTCCCAAGTGTGTCTGTCTCAAAGCCTATATTTTCTTCTGTACATATTCCACCTCCTCGCAAATAAATATTAGGGCTAGTATTTTGTACATATAAACCAATCTCTGTGTTCAGCTGTCATATACCTCCTGACATCTTTAGACCATCAGGGGTTAAGTCACTCATCTGATAGATGCTTTTCTTGAACCAGAAAAAGTGACCATTAATATCGTCATTTAATAATAGGTGTCAATATTATAAAACCAAACATATCAGTTTCGTGTACCTGAACAAATATTGTGAATTATTTGCATATATATGCATATACCTAATTCTCCTGTTCACATTTTATAAAACTAGGAAGCACTTACAATGTAAACTTTCATTTATTGCTATTAAATATAACATTATATTTATTCCTCATTGGTTTTCCATAGGTATGTTTCTCGCTGAGCTAATAGAAAAGTATTTTGTGTCCCCTACCCTGTTCCGAGTGATCCGTCTTGCCAGGATTGGCCGAATCCTTCGTCTGATCAAAGGAGCAAAGGGGATCCGCACATTGCTCTTTGCTTTGATGATGTCCCTTCCCGCGTTGTTTAACATTGGCCTCCTGCTCTTCCTGGTCATGTTCATCTACGCCATCTTTGGAATGTCCAACTTTGCCTATGTTAAGAGGGAAGTTGGAATCGATGACATGTTCAACTTTGAGACCTTTGGCAACAGCATGATCTGCCTGTTTCAAATTACCACCTCTGCTGGCTGGGATGGGTTACTAGCACCTATTCTCAACAGTGGACCTCCCGACTGTGATCCTGAAAAAGATCACCCTGGAAGCTCAGTCAAGGGAGACTGTGGGAACCCATCTGTTGGGATTTTCTTTTTTGTCAGTTACATCATCATATCCTTTCTGGTTGTGGTGAACATGTACATTGCCGTCATCCTGGAGAACTTCAGTGTTGCCACTGAAGAAAGTGCAGAGCCCCTGAGTGAGGATGACTTTGAGATGTTCTACGAGGTTTGGGAAAAGTTTGATCCTGATGCCACCCAGTTCATAGAGTTCGCCAAACTGTCTGACTTTGCAGCTGCCCTGGATCCTCCTCTTCTCATAGCGAAGCCAAACAAAGTCCAGCTCATTGCCATGGATCTGCCCATGGTCAGTGGTGACCGGATCCACTGCCTCGACATTCTATTTGCTTTTACAAAGCGTGTTTTGGGTGAGAGTGGAGAGATGGATGCCCTTCGAATCCAGATGGAAGAAAGGTTCATGGCATCGAACCCCTCCAAAGTCTCTTACGAGCCCATTACAACCACTTTGAAACGCAAGCAAGAGGAGGTGTCTGCTATTATTATCCAGAGGGCTTACAGACGCTACCTCTTGAAGCAAAAAGTGAAAAAGGTTTCAAGTATATATAAGAAAGACAAAGGCAAAGAAGGTGATGGAACACCTATCAAAGAAGATACTCTCGTTGATAAACTCAATGAGAACTCAACTCCAGAGAAAACCGATATGACGCCTTCCACCACTTCTCCACCTTCATATGATAGTGTGACCAAACCGGAAAAAGAGAAATTTGAAAAAGACAAATCAGAAAAGGAAGACAAGGGGAAAGATATCAGGGAAAGTAAAAAGTAAAAAGAAACAAAGCATATTTCATTGCGTGATCAATTGTTTACAGCCTGTGACGGTGATGTATTTGTGTCAACAGGACTCCCACAGGAGGTCTATGCCAAACTGACTGTTTTTACAAATGTATACTTAAGGTCAGTGCCTATAACAAGACAGAGACCTCTGGTCAGCACACTGGGACTCAATAAACTGGAGAAACAGTATCGACAGGAGGTTTCTATTTTCACAACCAGCTGACACTGCTGACGAGCAGAGACGTAATGGCTACTCAGACTATAGGAACCAATTCAAAGGGGGGAGGGAAGTTAAATTTTTATGTAAATTCAACACGTGACACTTGATGATAGTAATTGTCACCACTGTTTATGTTTTAACTGCCACATCTGCCATATTTTTATGAAATGTGTCTGTGAATTTATCACTTTTCTTTTTAATTCACAGGTTGTTTACTATTATATGTGACTATTTTTGTAAATGGGTTTGTGTTTGGGGAGAGGGATTAAAGGGAGGGAATTCTACATTTCTCTATTGTATAACTGGATATATTTTAAATGAAGGCATGCTGCAATTCTCATTCACACATGAAAAAAAATCACATCACAAAAGGAAAGAGTTTACTTCTTGTTTCAGGATGTTTTTAGATTTTTGAGGTGCTTAAATAGCTATTCATATTTTTAAGGTGTCTCATTCAGAAAAATTTTAACGTGCCTGTAAATGTTCCATAGAATCACAAGCATTGAATAGTTGTTTTATTTTTACATAACCCATCATACGTACATGTATATATGTACATATGTATGTATATGTGCGTGTATATACATATATATGTATACACACATGCACACACAGAGATACACACATACCATTACATAGTCATCCAGAGTCCCAGCAGCATGACTATACCATTTTTGATAAGTGTCCTTTGTCATAAAATTAAAATATCCTATCAGTCCTTTCTAAGAAAACTGAATTGACCAAAAAGCATCCCCACCACCACTTTATAAAGTTGATTCTGTTTTTTTCCTGCAGTATTGTTTAGCCATCTTCTGCTCTTGGTAAGGTTGACATAGTATATGTCAATTTAACAAATACAAGTCTGCTTTGTAAATAGTAATTTTACCCAGTGGTGCATGTTTGAGCAAACACAAATGATGATTTAAGCACAGTAATTATTGCATCAAATATGTACCACAGTAAGTATAGTTTGCAAGCTTTCAACAGGTAATATGATGTAATTGGTTCCATTATAGTTTGAAGCTGTCACTGCTGCATGTTTATCTTGCCTATGCTGCTGTATCTTATTCCTTCCACTGTTCAGAAGTCTAATATGGGAAGCCATATGTCAGTGGTTAAGTGAAGCAAATTGTTCTACCAAGACCTCATTCTTCATTAAGCAATAGGTTGCAGCATACAATGAAGAGCTTCTTGCTTTTTATCCTTCCAATCTTAATTGAACACTCTATGGTGTAAAGCCCGACTGTATAAACATGTTGCAAGCTGCTTAAATCTGTTTAAGATATATGGTTAGAGTTTTCTAAGAAAATATAAATACTGTAAAAAGTTCATTTTATTTTATTTTTCAGCCTTTTGTACATAAAATGAGAAATTAAAAGTATCTTCAGGTTGATGTCACAGTCACTATTGTTAGTTTCTGTTCCTAGCACTTTTAAATTAAAGCACTTCACAAAATAAGAAACGAGGACTAAGATGCAGTATAGCTTTCTGCTCTTTTTTTAAAATTAGTACTGTAAACTTGCACACATTTCCATGTGAAACAAATCTAAGACTGAATCCAATGTTTATTTGCTTTCAAATAGTAATGCCTTGTCATTGAAAGAGGCTTAAGGAAAATAGGTTGATATTCTTGACATTGCTTGAATCAGATGTTTCCACCTAGTCTTTTTATTCAGTAATCATCAGTCTTTTCCAATGTTTGTTTACACAGATAGATCTTATTCTTACTGACCCATATGGCACTAGAATTGTATCAGATGTAATATGGGATCCCAGCTTTTTTTCCCCCATCACAAAACCAGATAGTGAAGTTATATTACCAGCTACAGCAAAATATTTTGTGTCTCACAAGCAACAACAAATGTAGATTCTTTATACTAAAACTATTGACTTGTAGTGTGTTGGTGAAATGCATGCAGGAAAATGCTATTACCATAAAGAACGGTAAACCACATTACAATCAAGCCAAAAGAATAAAGGTTTTGCTTTCGTTTTGTATTTAATTGTTGTCTTTGTTTCTATCTTTGAAATGCCATTTAAAGATAAATTTCTACAATGTAAAAATTATCTGGAAAAATAAATGTAAAGAATACTCATGAAATATAATAACTCATCTTTAAATTTTTTCATGGAATGGAAACTAATTAAGAAGAGTGTATTGGTTAACTAATATTGGCCAAAAACCGAGATATGGTATCAGGTAGAGTAGTGGAAAGTTACAAAAGTTAATAAAAAATTGACTAACGTTTTAAGTTGTGCATCCTTTCTCCTTCCTGTCTACCAATTGTTGTTTTATTTTAAATGTTTCCATTTCAGTTTCTTTCCTATGTGTTCTTGATCTACTTTCTATCTATGCTTCCATTCTTTCCTTGGGATCTCAGTATTTTTCATTGAGGATATTCTTCTTGTTTCTTTTCTATTCAACAAACATCTTGTTGAACTACAGTTCATAAATAACTAATCTGGGCACTTAGAACCTTAAAATTTTGCTATCACCCTACAGAGTTTACATAGCATCCTTATATTCATTTTTACAATTTTCTTGACAAAAATTCCAAGGAAGTTTAAAGCCCAACTCTTCATAATATATAAACAAAATTCCCAAATGACACAGATTTGATTTTCTCATTTTATTACATATACAGTTTGAGGAATGTTTCTCAACTCTGATTACATATTATAATCCCCTGAGAAAAGAAGATGCCAGTGTGTAGAACAAGACCAGACCAATTGAACTATATCTCTTGGGGAGACTTAGGCATCTATTGCTTTTAAGGGTCATCAATGATGCTGATTCATACTGAGATTGAGATCCAATAAGTTAGGGTCTCCTTGCTCAATAGGAAAAAAATATTCAATAGGAAAGGCAACTGCCCCTTTCAGAGCTTCATTACATAACTCATCATGCACAAAATGAGGCTTCTAAGAGGATGACTTTTAGTGTATTTACCTTATAGAGTGAGAAATTGACATTGATCCATTTATACTAGGGATTGTCTTTTCGGACTATAGTTGGTGGAAAGGGAATTCTATTAAAATAGTTTAAGGAGTTAAAAAAAAAAATTGCACACACACACTATGGCACTCCAATCCACCCTAGTGTAGACTGGGTGGGCTGAGTATGGGTGTGGTCTAGGTAACTGCATAAATCTACAACCACAACATGTCCCTCCTCCCCCTGTCCCACCCCCAGCCCCACCCCGTTAAATCCCACATGCCGTGTTGCATGAGAACCATTTGTATCAATGAGAGGCAGCTTACGGGGGCCAGTCAAAAAACATGCTTTCAAGTTGTCATTATCAACTCACATATCTAGAAAGGAAAGATTCCCATTCTCAACTTCTTCATTCTTGGGGCACATCTCATGATCACTTGCTTTCTTGAGCTCTGTGTAATATAGACAAATTTAAAAAGTTCTCTTTTTAAAGGGAAGGAAGGGAAGGAGGAACAGAAACTTCAGGGAAAAGTAGGGGAGTATAAATAATAGGAGGGTATGTTTTATAAATTATCTTGTGAAACAAGTCTGTTGTTAATACCTGCAGCAATAGTAAGAGAAGGGGGAAGAAAAAATGTGAGAGAAGGAAATATTGCTTAGTTGTCAAAATGTTAGATCTGCAATGCAAAAATGATTCTCTCCCTCCTTTTTTTTTTTTAAGAAAAAAAATGCCAGTGTAAATTTCATGAATAGTGAGGTTTTTTTCCTTTTCATCTGAATTAAATACATATTTGAGTGTCTACTCTATATCAGCATTTGTGATAGGAGCTCAGAGATCAAAGGTGAGCAGTTATTCAAAGGAAGGTTGTAGCCACAGGTGAAGACACTTGAAAGTCATGCTGAAGGATTTGGAATGGATTCTTCTGGCAAACAGGAGCAATTACCTCTGAGGGTAGAAGGAGCAGTAAAATCAGATACATCTGTACTAATTTAATGTGGTAGTCATATGACTACACTGCCCATTTTTTGCTAGAATTTTACAGATAACCCAATTTCCCATTCATTTAATTTTAAAGATTTCTGTGTTCTTAACTTTTAGTACAGTGTCTATGTTTTGTTAGTACTCTTTCTGAATAATTTGTCAGGTTTTAGTATCAGATAACACTGACTTCAAAAAATAAGTTGGAAAGCGTTTTTTTTCCTGAGTGTCTGTAAGAGTGAGATTATTTCTCTTTTAAATATTGATAGAATTCACCAGTAAAGCCATCTGGAGCTTGAGTCTTTGTGGGAAAGATTTTAATGAAAGATATTAACTTCTTCAGCAGGTATGGGACCACTATTTTTTTTTTAAACTTGACAAGTTGCATTTTTCTAAGAATTTGTTCATGTAAGTTATTGTTATTGTTGTTGAATTTACTTCATAAACTGTTCTTATTATCCTCCTGTTATGCTTTTGTGGCAAATCTAGTCATATTTTTTCTTTCACTTCTAGTACTAAAAGTGTGTAATTTATCTCTTTTTCTTAGTCAGTCTATCTAGGTGTTCTTTAATTACATTAATGTATTTAAAAATCCAGCTTTTGGTTTGTTGATTTTTCTCTATAGTTTTTCAGTTTTCTATTTTACTAATTTATTTTCTTTTCATCTCTACTACCATAATTTTTATTTTCTTTCCTTACTGCATTGGCTGAATATTCATTAAAACATTGAAGAAATATGATGAGAATGTTTCGTTTTGTTTTGTTTCTAGTATGAGGGAGGGAAAAGTTTTCAAAATTCACTATTAAGTATGCTGTTTGGTGTAGATTTTATAAAATAGAGACACCCCTTGTCATCTTAAAGGGGATCCCTTCAGTTCCTAACTTTCTAAGATTTTTTTTAAAATTATGACTAAATATTGAATTTTATTAATTTTTTCCTATGCCTTATTTAGATAATCATATATCATTTTCTACTGTATTCTGATATTGTGATAAATAATATTGATTGACATTAGGATGCCAATCCTAATTATGTTCCTGGAATTGAATCAAATTTGGTCACTTGCCCTATCAAATATTTTTTTTTTTTTTTTTTTTTTTTGAGTTAGAGTCTCACTCTGTCGCCCAGACTGGAGTGCAGTGGCCGCTCCTGGCCACCGCAGCCTCGACCTGCTGGGCTCCAGCGATCCTTCTGCCTCAGCCTTCCGAGTAGCCGGAATTACAGGCGTGCACTACCACGCCCGGCTGATTTTTTGATTTATTGTAGAGATGAGGTCTCACTCCCCAGGTATATATTGATTTATTTGGTTTTCTAATATTTTGTTTCATATTCCTACATCTGTGTTTGTGAAGAAGTTTAGTTTATAATTTTTTTTAATGTGCTTGTTAGGTTGTGAAATCAAGATTGTGGTAACATCTTAAAAATCTTAAAGAAAATTGAGAAAGTTTTACTTTGTTGTTCTCTCATTAGGTAAATTAGTGTTAATTTTCCTTAATTATTTGGATCATTAATTAGTAAAATCTTCTGAGCTTGAATTGTTTTTAAGTACAGTTTTAATTTATGTATTTTTTAAAATAGAGGACCATTCAGATTTGCCATTTCTTCTTGTTTCAGTTTCTGTGACTTGATAAAATTTCAAGTTTATTCACGTAAAATTGTTTATAACTATATTATTTTTAAAAACTCTGTGGGAGTTATAGTAGTTACCCCTTTATGACTCCTGATATTAGTATTTTGTGATTCTTTAAAACTTACTTCATCTTTTAAAGAACAATCTTTTGACTTTTAAAGTCTTTTTTACTGTATATTCTTTTTTATTTTTGCTTTCATATTAAGTATAATTTCTTCCTTTTATATTTCTGGTTTTAATTTACCATTGTTTTCTAATTCCTTGAAATGGCTATTTCATTCACTGGCTTTCAGCCTTTATTCTTTTTTTTAAACAAGTTCACTTAAGGCTATGAATTTCTCCCTAAGAATGGTTTAATAATATCCCACAAATTTTGATATATTTTATTTTGTTGTCATTTAGATTTAAATATTTTCTAATTTCTATTGTGATTTTTAAAAATCTTATTAGAAATTTAGAAGAATACTTCTTAATTTCCAAATACTTAAAATATTCCCTAACTATAATTGTTTTAACTTCTAATTTAATTTCCTTATGTTCAGATAATATACCCTGTATAATTTTAATTGTTTATCTTTTGAAGGGAAATACTTTGTAGCTCAGCATCTATTAAATATGTCTATGTTTTTTGTGTAGTTGAAAATAATATGCATTATGCAGTTGTTAGGTGAAATGTTCTACACATTTAAATCATGTCATTCAAAATGCATCATCATTGATTTCTTTAGACTGTTTTTGTGTCCTTTGTCAAAATGATTATGCAAAAATTTTGAAATATGGTTATGGATTTACTTTATTTCTCCTTTTAGATCTGTTGACTTTTGCTATTTATTTTTATTTTATTTGGCTATTTAATATGTTATTAGGTGCCTAATTGGCTCTATTATCATTACGGAATATTCTTGTTAATTTCTAGTAATGACTGCCCTGAGTTCATTCCGTCTGATTATTATGACACCTACAATGACTTTGGTTTGAATGGTGATTGTGTGGTAGATCTCCTTTCATTGTCTGACTTTAAATGTTTCTGTAAACTCATAGTCTATACTGAATATTGATGAGTTTTGTTTTATATCCAGTCTGGCAATCTCCTCTCGCTCTTTCATGCATACACACCCCATATTTAGATTTAAATTTATGACTTCTTTTGGATTATTTGTGTAATTCATTTTCATACATCTTGTTATTACATTGTTTTCAGTTACCTCAACAATTGCTATGTGCTTCTGTAAGTTGCTAAATTCCAAAATAAATTAGCATTTTGCCACTTTCTGGACATTGCTGGGACACGATAACACTTTGATTCCATTTCTCCCCTTTGTTCTTTTGTGCTATTGTTAATGTGCTTCCATTTTACATACAGTTTAAACTCTGGAAGACATTATTATTATTACCTTTTTATAGTCAGCACTCACTTAGATTTTCCAAAATATTTAGCTTTTTATTCCTTCCTTCCTTCCTACATTTTCTACTTACCTATGGATTATTTCCCTTCTGCCTAAAAAAAAAAATAAAAAATAAAAAAATTCTCCTTAACATCTCTTTTACTATGGGTCTGCTCTTATTAAATTTCTCAAGTTTACTTTGCCCCCCAAAAGTATCTGTCTTTTATTTTCAATTTTGAAGGATGTTTTCACTAGATATAGAATTAGAAAATAATATTTTTCCTATGTTAGCATTTCAAGGGTGACATTCATTGTCTCCTGC